TAATTCACCCTACTATCTGTATGCTCACACATGTTGTAGGATACTGCTTATTAAAGGAAATTTCCCAAGTGTATGGTTCCACTGGGGATTGAACCAAGGACTTTCTGCCTGTAAAGCAGACATGATGACCACTACACTTTGGAAATAGCTGCTTCGATGCATTTTCTCAAACTTCATACATGTTGTAGGATACTGGTTTTTAAAACGAAAATCCAAAAGGGGGTCTGACCATTCATGAGGTTTTTTTACTCACCATTAGCCCACAGCCTTACTTGCTTTTCATAGCAATTCCCAAATTACTTGGATTTCATTGCAATTCCCAAATCTATGGTTCCACTGGGGGTCGATCCCAGGACATTCTGCATGTAAAGAAGATGTGATGACCACTAAGCGTAGAACCAGTTAATTCACCCTACTATCTGTATGCTCACAGATGTTGTAGGATACTGCTTATTAAAGGAAAATCCAAAAGGGTTTGTAATAAATCATGAGGTTTTGTTATTCACCATTAGCACACAGCCTTACTTGGTTTTGATTGCAATTCCTTAGTTCATGGTTCCACTAGGAATTGAACCCAGGACTTTCTGCGTGTAAAGCAGACGTGATGACCACTACACTATAGAACCAGCTAGTTCCCTTACTATCTGATTGCTCATACATGTTGTAGAACTCTCTTCATTAATGAGGAAAATTTGAGAAAACCCAGCTGGTTTACACAATTCATTGGGATTTGTTACTCACCATTAGCACACACCCTTACTTGGTCTTCATTGCAATTTCCCAAGTGTATGGTTCCACTGGGGATTGAACCAAGGACTTTCTGCCTGTAAAGCAGACATGATGACCACTACACTTTGGAAACAGCTGCTTCAATGCATTTTCTCAAACTTCATACATGTTGTAGGATACTGGTTATTCAACGAAAATCCAAAAGGGTCTGACCATTCATGAGGTTTTGTTACTCACCATTAGCCCACAGCCTTACTTGCTTTTCATAGCAATTCCCAACTTACTTGGATTTCATTGCAATTCCCAAATCTATGGTTCCACTGGGGGTCGATCCCAGGACTTTCTGCATGTAAAAAGATGTGATGACCACTACTAGAACCAGTTAATTCACCCTACTATCTGTATGCTCACACATGTTGTAGGATACTGCTTATTAAAGGAAAATCCAAAAAGGGGTTTGATAATTCATGAGGATTTCTTATTCACCATTAACACACAGCCTTACTTGGTTTTGATTGCAATTCCTAAGTTCATGGTTCCACTGCGGATTGAACCCAGGACTTTCTGCGTGTAAAGCAGACATGATGACCACTACACTTTGGAAACAGCTGCTTCAATGCATTTTCTCAAACTTCATACATGTTGTAGGATACTGCTTATTAAAGGAAAATCCAAGAGGTTTTGATAATTCGTGAGAGTTTGTTATTCACCATTAGCACACAGCCTTACTTGGTTTTCATTGCAATTCCCACGTTTATGGTTCCACTGGGGATTGAACCCAGGACTTTCTGCGTGTAAAGCAGATGTGATGACCACTACACTATAGAACCAATTACTTCCCCTTACTATCTGATTGCTCATACATGTTGTAGAACTCTCGTCATTAATGAGGAAAATTAGAGAAAACCCAGCTGGTTTACACAATTTCATTGGGGATTTGCCTTTAGGGTTTTGTTTACTGGGGGTTGAACCAAGGACTTTCTGCCTGTAAAGCGAACATGATGACCACTACACTTTGGAAACAGCTGCTTCAATGCATTTTCTCAAACTTCATACATGTTGTAGGATACTGGTTATTAAACGAAAATCCAAAAGGCGGCGGACGATTCATGAGGTTTTGTTACTCACCATTAGCCCACAGCCTTACTTGCATTTCATAGCAATTCCCAAGATTTCATTGCAATTCCCCAATCTATGGTTCCACTGGGGGTCGATCCCAGGACTTCCTGCATGTAAAGAAGATGTGGCGACTACTACACCATAGCACCAGTTACGCACCCCACTATCTGTATGCTCATACATGTTGTAGGATACTGCTTATTAAAAGAAAATCCAAAAGGTTTTGATAATTCGTGAGAGATTGTTATTCACCATTAGCACACAACCTTACTTGGTTTTGATTGCAATTCTCATATCTATGGTTCTACAGGGGATTGAACCCAGGACTTTCTGCGTGTAAAGCAGACGTGATGACCACTACACTATAGAACCAGTTGTGTCCCTTTATTATCTGATTGCTCATACATGTTGTAGAACTCTCTTCATTAATGAGGAAAATTAGAGAAAACCCAGCTGGTTTACACAATTCATTGGGATTTGTTACTCACCATTAGCACACACCCTTACTTGGTTTTCATTGCAATTTCCCAAGTGTATGGTTCCACTGGGGATTGAACCAAGGACTTTCTGCCTGTAAAGCAGACATGATGACCACTACACTTTGGAAACAGCTGCTTCAATGCATTTTCTCAAACTTCATACATGTTGTAGGATACTGGTTATACAACGAAAATCCAAAAGGGGCTGACCATTCATGAGGTTTTGTTACTCACCATTAGCCCACAGCCTTACTTGCTTTTCATAGCAATTCCCAAATTACTTGGATTTCATTGCAATTCCCAAATCTATGGTTCCACTGGGGGTCGATCCCAGGACTTTCTGCATGTAAAGATGTGATGACCACTACTTCGTAGAACCAGTTAATTCACCCTACTATCTGTATGCTCACACATGTTGTAGGATACTGCTTATTAAAGGAAAATCCAAAAGGGTTTGATAATTCCTGAGAGTTTGTTATTCACCATTAGCACACAACCTTACTTGGTTTTGATTGCAATTCTCATATCTATGGTTCCACTGGGGATTGAACCCAGGACTTTCTGCGTGTAAAGCAGATGTGATGACCACTACACTATAGAACCAGTTACTTCCCCTTACTATCTGATTGCTCATACATGTTGTAGAACTCTCGTCATTAATGAGGAAAATTTGAGAAAACCCAGCTGGTTTACACAATTCATGGGGATTTGTTACTCACCATTAGCACACACCCTTACTTGGTTTTCATTGCAATTTCCCAAGTGTATGGTTCCACTGGGGATTGAACCAAGGACTTTCTGCCTGTAAAGCAGACATGATGACCACTACACTTTGGAAACAGCTGCTTCAATGCATTTTCTCAAACTTCATACATGTTGCAGGATACTGGTTATTAAACGAAAATCCAAACGGGTCTGACCATTCATGAGGTTTTTTTACTCACCATTAGCCCACAGCCTTACTTGCTTTTCATAGCAATTCCCAAATTACTTGGATTTCATTGCAATTCCCAAATCTATGGTTCCACTGGGGGTCGATCCCAGGACTTTCTGCATGTAAAGAAGATGTGATGACCACTACTTCGTAGAACCAGTTAATTCACCCTACTATCTGTATGCTCACACATGTTGTAGGATACTGCTTATTAAAGGAAAATCCAAAAGGGTTTGATAATTCATGAGGTTTTGTTATTCACCATTAGCACACAGCCTTACTTGGTTTTGATTGCAATTCCCATATTTATTGTTTCACTGGGGATTGAACCCAGAACTTTCTGCGTGTAAAGCAGACGTGATGACCACTACACTATAGAACCAGTTAGATCCCTTACTATCTGATTGCTCATACATGTTGTAGAACTCTCTTCATTAATGAGGAAAATTAGAGAAAACCCAGCTGGTTTACACAATTCATTGGGATTTGTTACTCACCATTAGCACACACCCTTACTTGGTTTTCATTGCAATTTCCCAAGATTTCATTGCAGTTCCCCAATCTATGGTTCCACTGGGGGTCGATCCCAGGACTTCCTGCATGTAAAGAAGATGTGACGACTACTACACCATAGCACCAGTTAACGCACCCCACTATCTGTATGCTCATACATGTTGTAGGATACTGCTTATTAAAGGAAAATCCAAAAGGTTTTGATAATTCGTGAGAGATTGTTATTCACCATTAGCACACAACCTTACTTGGTTTTGATTGCAATTCTCATATCTATGGTTCTACAGGGGATTGAACCCAGGACTTTCTGCGTGTAAAGCAGACGTGATGACCACTACACTATAGAACCAGTTGTGTCCCTTTATTATCTGATTGCTCATACATGTTGTAGAACTCTCTTCATTAATGAGGAAAATTAGAGAAAACCCAGCTGGTTTACACAATTCATTGGGATTTGTTACTCACCATTAGCACACACCCTTACTTGGTTTTCATTGCAATTTCCCAAGTGTATGGTTCCACTGGGGATTGAACCAAGGACTTTCTGCCTGTAAAGCAGACATGATGACCACTACACTTTGGAAACAGCTGCTTCAATGCATTTTCTCAAACTTCATACATGTTGTAGGATACTGGTTATACAACGAAAATCCAAAAGGGGCTGACCATTCATGAGGTTTTGTTACTCACCATTAGCCCACAGCCTTACTTGCTTTTCATAGCAATTCCCAAATTACTTGGATTTCATTGCAATTCCCAAATCTATGGTTCCACTGGGGGCCGATCCCAGGACATTCTGCATGTAAAAAAGATGTGATGACCACTACTTCGTAGAACCAGTTAATTCACCCTACTATCTGTATGCTCACACATGTTGTAGGATACTGCTTATTAAAGGAAAATCCAAAAGGGTTTGATAATTCCTGAGAGTTTGTTATTCACCATTAGCACACAACCTTACTTGGTTTTGATTGCAATTCTCATATCTATGGTTCCACTGGGGATTGAACCCAGGACTTTCTGCGTGTAAAGCAGATGTGATGACCACTACACTATAGAACCAGTTACTTCCCCTTACTATCTGATTGCTCATACATGTTGTAGAACTCTCGTCATTAATGAGGAAAATTTGAGAAAACCCAGCTGGTTTACACAATTCATGGGGATTTGTTACTCACCATTAGCACACACCCTTACTTGGTTTTCATTGCAATTTCCCAAGTGTATGGTTCCACTGCGGGATTGAACCAAGGACTTTCTGCCTGTAAAGCAGACATGATGACCACTACACTTTGGAAACAGCTGCTTCAATGCATTTTCTCAAACTTCATACATGTTGCAGGATACTGGTTATTAACGAAAAATCCAAACGGGTCTGACCATTCATGAGGTTTTTTACTCACCATTAGCCCACAGCCTTACACTTTTCCTTACACAATTCCCAAATTACTTGGATTTCATTGCAATTCCCAAATCTATGGTTCCACTGGGGGTCGATCCCAGGACTTTCTGCATGTAAAGAAGATGTGATGACCACTACTTCTAGAACCAGTTAATTCACCCTACTATCTGTATGCTCACACATGTTGTAGGATACTGCTTATTAAAGGAAAATCCAAAAGGGTTTGAAAATTCATGAGGTTTTGTTATTCACCATTAGCACACAGCCTTACTTGGTTTTGATTGCAATTCCCATATTTATTGTTTCACTGGGGATTGAACCCAGAACTTTCTGCGTGTAAAGCAGACGTGATGACCACTACACTATAGAACCAGTTAGATCCCTTACTATCTGATTGCTCATACATGTTGTAGAACTCTCTTCATTAATGAGGAAAATTAGAGAAAACCCAGCTGGTTTACACAATTCATTGGGATTTGTTACTCACCATTAGCACACACCCTTACTTGGTTTTCATTGCAATTTCCCAAGATTTCATTGCAGTTCCCCAATCTATGGTTCCACTGGGGGTCGATCCCAGGACTTCCTGCATGTAAAGAAGATGTGACGACTACTACACCATAGCACCAGTTAACGCACCCCACTATCTGTATGCTCATACATGTTGTAGGATACTGCTTATTAAAGGAAAATCCAAAAGGTTTTGATAATTCGTGAGAGTTTGTTATTCACCATTAGCACACAGCCTTACTTGGTTTTCATTGCAATTCCCATGTTTATGGTTCCACTGGGGATTGAACCCAGGACTTTCTGCGTGTAAAGCAGATGTGATGACCACTACACTATAGAACCAATTACTTCCCCTTACTATCTGATTGCTCATACATGTTGTAGAACTCTCGTCATTAATGAGGAAAATTAGAGAAAACCCAGCTGGTTTACACAATTCATGGGGATTTGTTTCTCACCATTAGCACACACCCTTACTTGGTTTTCATTGCAATTTCCCAAGTGTATGGTTCCACTGGGGATTGAACCAAGGACTTTCTGCCTGTAAAGCAGACATGATGACCACTACACTTTGGAAACAGCTGCTTCAATGCATTTTCTCAAACTTCATACATGTTGTAGGATACTGGTTATTAAACGAAAATCCAAAAGGGGCTGACGATTCATGAGGTTTTGTTACTCACCATTAGCCCACAGCCTTACTTGCATTTCATAGCAATTCCCAAGATTTCATTGCAATTCCCCAATCTATGGTTCCACTGGGGGTCGATCCCAGAACATTCTGCATGTAAAGAAGATGTGATGACCACTACTTCGTAGAACCAGTTAATTCACCCTACTATCTGTATGCTCACACATGCTGTAGGATACTGCTTATTAAAGGAAAATCCAAAAGGGGTTGATAATTCCTGAGAGTTTGTTATTCACCATTAGCACACAACCTTACTTGGTTTTGATTGCAATTCTCATATCTATGGTTCCACTGGGGATTGAACCCAGGACTTTCTGCGTGTAAAGCAGATGTGATGACCACTACACTACAGAACCAGTTGTGTCCCTTTACTATCTGATTGCTCATACATGTTGTAGAACTCTCGTCATTAATGAGGAAAATTAGAGAAAACCCAGCTGGTTTACACAATTCATGGGGATTTGTTACTCACCATTAGCACAAAACCTTACATGGTTTTCATTACAATTCCCATGTTTATGGTTCCACTGGGGATTGAACCCAGGACTTTCTGCGTGTAAAGCAGATGTGATGACCACTACACTATAGAACCAGTTACTTCCCCTTACTATCTGATTGCTCATACATGTTGTAGAACTCTCGTCATTAATGAGGAAAATTAGAGAAAACCCAGCTGGTTTACACAATTCATGGGGATTTGTTACTCACCATTAGCACACACCCTTACTTGGTTTTCATTGCAATTTCCCAAGTGTATGGTTCCACTGGGGATTGAACCAAGGACTTTCTGCCTGTAAAGCAGACATGATGACCACTACACTTTGGAAACAGCTGCTTCAATGCATTTTCTCAAACTTCATACATGTTGTAGGATACTGGTTATTAAACGAAAATCCAAAAGGATCTGACCATTCATGAGGTTTTGTTACTCACCATTAGCCCACAGCCTTACTTGCTTTTCATAGCAATTCCCAAATTACTTGGATTTCATTGCAATTCCCAAATCTATGGTTCCACTGGGGGTCGATCCCAGGACATTCTGCATGTAAAGAAGATGTGATGACCACTACTTCGTAGAACCAGTTAATTCACCCTACTATCTGTATGCTCACACATGCTGTAGGATACTGCTTATTAAAGGAAAATCCAAAAGGGTTTGATAATTCATGAGGTTTTGTTATTCACCATTAGCACACAGCCTTACTTGGTTTTGATTGCAATTCCCATATTTATGGTTCCACTAGGGATTGAACCCAGGACTTTCTGCGTGTAAAGCAGACGTGATGACCACTACACTATAGAACCAGTTAGTTCCCTTACTATCTGATTGCTCATACATGTTGTAGAACTCTCTTCATTAATGAGGAAAATTTGAGAAAACCCAGCTGGTTTACACAATTCATTGGGATTTGTTACTCACCATTAGCACACACCCTTACTTGGTTTTCATTGCAATTTCCCAAGTGTATGGTTCCACTGGGGATTGAACCAAGGACTTTCTGCCTGTAAAGCAGACATGATGACCACTACACTTTGGAAACAGCTGCTTCAATGCATTTTCTCAAACTTCATACATGTTGTAGGATACTGGTTATTCAACGAAAATCCAAAAGGGTCTGACCATTCATGAGGTTTTGTTACTCACCATTAGCCCACAGCCTTACTTGCTTTTCATAGCAATTCCCAAATTACTTGGATTTTATTGCAATTCCCAAATCTATGGTTCCACTGGGGGTCGATCCCAGGACTTTCTGCATGTAAAGAAGATGTGATGACCACTACTTCGTAGAACCAGTTAATTCACCCTACTATCTGTATGCTCACACATGTTGTAGGATACTGCTTATTAAAGGAAAATCCAAAAGGGTTTGATAATTCATGAGGATTTCTTATTCACCATTAACACACAGCCTTACTTGGTTTTGACTGCAATTTCTAAGTTCATGGTTCCACTGCGGATTGAACCCAGGACTTTCTGCGTGTAAAGCAGATGTGATGACCACTACACTATAGAACCAGTTACTTCCCCTTACTATCTGATTGCTCATACATGTTGTAGAACTCTCGTCATTAATGAGGAAAATTAGAGAAAACCCAGCTGGTTTACACAATTCATGGGGATTTGTTACTCACCATTAGCACACACCCTTACTTGGTTTTCATTGCAATTTCCCAAGTGTATGGTTCCACTGGGGATTGAACCAAGGACTTTCTGCCTGTAAAGCAGACATGATGACCACTACACTTTGGAAACAGCTGCTTCAATGCATTTTCTCAAACTTCATACATGTTGTAGGATACTGGTTATTAAACGAAAATCCAAAAGGGGCTGACCATTCATGAGGTTTTGTTACTCACCATTAGCCCACAGCCTTACTTGCTTTTCATAGCAATTCCCAAATTACTTGGATTTCATTGCAATTCCCAAATCTATGGTTCCACTGGGGGTCGATCCCAGGACTTTCTGCATGTAAAGAAGATGTGATGACCACTACTTCGTAGAACCAGTTAATTCACCCTACTATCTGTATGCTCACACATGTTGTAGGATACTGCTTATTAAAGGAAAATCCAAAAGGGTTTGATAATTCATGAGGTTTTGTTATTCACCATTAGCACACAGCCTTACTTGATTTTGATTGCAATTCCTAAGTTCATGGTTCCACTGGGGATTGAACCCAGGACTTTCTGCGTGTAAAGCAGATGTGATGACCACTACACTATAGAACCAGTTGCTTAACCTTACTATCTGTATGCTCATACATGTTGTAGGATACTGGTTATTAAACGAAAATCCAAAAGGGTCTGACCATTCATGAGGTTTTGTTACTCACCATTAGTACACAACCTTACTTGCTTTTCATTGCAATTCCCAAATTACTTGGATTTCATTGCAATTCCCAAATCTATGGTTCCACTGGGGGTCGATCCCAGGACATTCTGCATGTAAAAAAGATGTGATGACCACTACACCATAGAACCAGTTAATTCACCCTACTATCTGTATGCTCATACATGTTGTAGGATACTGCTTATTAAAGGAAAATCCAAAAGGATTTGATAATTCACCATTAGCACACAACCTTACTTGGTTTTCATTTGTAATTCCCAAGTGTATGGTTCCACTGGGGATTGAACCCAGAACTTTCTGCATGTAAAGCAGATGTGATGACCACTACACTATAGAACCAGTTAGTTCCTATTAATATCTGTATGCTCATACATGTTGTAGGATACTGCTTATTAAAGGAAAATCCAAAAGGATTTGATAATTCATGAGGATTTGTTATTCACCATTAGCACACAACCTTACTTGGTTTTGATTGTAATTCCCAAGATTATGGTTCCACTGGGGATTGAATCCAGGACTTTCTGCGTGTAAAGCAGACATGATGACCACTACACCATAGAACCAGTTGCTTCCCCTTACTATCTGTATGCTCATACATGTTGTAGAACTCTCGTCATTAATGAGGAAAATTAGAGAAACCCCAGCTGGTTTACACAATTAATGGGGATCTGTTACTCACCATTAGCACACACACCCTAACTTGGTTTTCATTGCAATTCCCAGGATTTCATCGCAATTCCCCAATCTATGGTTCCACTGGGGGTCGATCCCAGGACTTTCGGCGTGTAACGCAGACATGATGACCACTACACAATAGAGCCAGTTGCTTAACCCTACTATCTGTATGCTCATACATGTTGTAGGATACTGGTTAGCAAAGGAAAATCCAAAATGGTCTGACGATTCATGAGGTTTTGTTACTCACCAGTAGCACACAACCTTACTTGGATTTCAGGGCAATTCATAAATAAATGGTTTCACAACAACAAAGCAAAAAATCTATTACTGATGTCTTAATATCAAATTACTACAAGATAAACATTTCTGTGAGATTTTTACATTTTTCTGGGAGTCTTGGAAAAGTGAGAGAATCTTTTATGAAAATTGCATACAATGGTGGGAGGTAGGGAAAGCCCAAATAAGGAATTTCTGTCAACAGTACCTATCATATTCTACATTTTGTATAAAAAAGTCGGTGGAAAGTCTTGAGAGAGAGATTATGGGTATCGAACAAAGCATGACAAAAAATGATTCTACACACCTTCATGGAATGTGGACTGTAAAGTCTAACCTGCTAAGCTCAATTTTGAATGAAAGATAAAAGGTGCTCTTGGAAGAAGTAACTTTTTAACGACACGTGACATGGATGCTCCCACCTCTTTTTTTTTTAACTTGGAGCATAAAAAAGAGAAAGGGAAAATTATGTACGTTTTAAAAGACTGTAATGGTCGAGACACCTTGGATCCTTTCTCTGTCTCTCTCTCTGTCTCTCTCTCTCTCTACCTCTGTCTCTCTTACTTTCTGTCTCTCTCTCTCGGGAGAGTTAAAGCTAACGGCAGTAAGCTGATTAAGAGAGAAAAGCTCGGAAAAAGAGAGTCTAACATCTTATAAATGCTTTATAACAGAAGAGCGAAAGTTGCTAAGTTTGTCCTACTTGCGATGTGTGTGTGTGTGTGTGTGTGTGTGTTCCAGATCCATGTGGCCACAGATCTCACCACAGCTTGCTAAGAATAATGTCCTCCATCTGCTTCTACTACTGATCCCAGATCAGGTTTATTCATGTTTTAGCTCTCGGACATTGTATATACAGCTGTGTAGTTTATTATTGAACTGTTCTCAGATCAGTTCCCACTTTAGATTGGAATCAGCTCTAAAATACAAACAGGAAATTTGATGAAAAGTTGCTTTAAATTTATAGGAATGGTGCCATAGAAAAAGTTCTTCTTCTTCTTCTTCTTCTTCTTCTTCTTCTTCCCACCAATGAATGTAACAATGCTGAATTGAAATAAAAAATGGACGCGCTCACTTGCCTAACAGTACACGTCACATTCTAGATTAAAAAGAGGAAGAGGAGGAGGAGGAAGAAGAAAGCATTTATTTGTCACATATACGTTACAGTGCAGTGAAATTCTTTAATATAATTTTAATTTAACGTCTTGATCAGCAGCATCAGACTCCACGATCACCGCACGTCGGTTGTGGTGTGTGTGTCTCTTAGTTGACCTTCTGCCGCACTTAATCAAATAAGTGTATTGTTATCCCCCTTCACCTTGCTTATCTATGTATTGTGTCTTAGGTGAACATTCGTTCATACAGTCCACCAGTCCAGTGAATTCTCAATAAGATTTTATATTACTCGTACTCGGTCTCCCTCCTGTATATTTCATGTCTATTTTATATACAACACAAGGAGGAGGAGAAGGGGGAGCAGGAGGAGGAGGAGGACAAGGACGAGGAGGAGGAGGAGGAGGACAAGGATGGGGGACCCACACAGACGCCAGTAATGCTGCTGACTGGGCCAGGGAGCTTAAAGGGTTATCCTTTTTAAGTCATAAGACATCTACCAGTGGGGGAGTAGCTATATTATTTTCCCATAATTTTATTCCCTGTTCTTATCAAGTTGATGAAATTAGAAAGTATAGACTGCTGAAGGTTAGAGCACAATATGAGAATAGGTGGGTTGTGTTTGTTTGTGTGTATGCCCCGACCACAGCCATTGAAGATGTCCTGAAGAATTGTGACTCTGAAGATTTTTTTTAATTGTCGGGGGGATTTTAATTTTACAGAGCAGGATAGACAGGAATCATGTACAGCCCCATATGCCATCACGTAGAAGGCTAGTCGAGTTAATAAATTCCTGTGACCTTGTGGACATTTGCAGAAATTTTCACCACATGCAAAAACAGTAGACCTGGGTGCACTCCTATAATAATATGCTATGGCCAGATTGGATCGATTTTATGGTTTTAAATACCAGTTAAGTGCTTTTAGAAGTTGTGTAATTATACCAGAAGGTTTTACGGACCATTGTATGGTTCTCTCTACTGTGTATATAAGTAAACTCAAACATAAGGGTACATATTGGCATTTTAACACCAGTTTATTGCAAGACGTTCATTTTAGGGATGTGTTTAAATATTTTGGGGGGATTTTAAAACCACAAAGGTTTCGTTTAATTCGGTGCAACAGTGGTGGGATTTCGTCAAAACGCAGATTAAACAGCTGTGTCAACAGTATACCTCCAATGTCACGAGAGACATAACTCTCCGCAAGAAATCCTTGGAGGATGAAATAATGACGCTTCAAGAGTTAATGAAAAACACAGGACAGCAAGTATGCATAGAAAATTTGAGAACAAAAGAGAGTTTATTAACTAAATTGCTAGACGTTACCGCTCAAGGAGCTCTGGTCAGGTCACGGTTTCAGAATGCGGAGTGTATGGATGCACTATCAAAATTCTACATCATTGATTATATTATTATGTACTTCTGTGTCAACATGACATGGGACTTATTTTGTATCATGACTATGTGGTGTGTGTTTTGTCTAAATCTGTCTGACACTTGGACCAGTAGAAACCGTCCACACACTGCTGTTATCAACGTGTACAGTATAAATACTTCTGTTTTGAATGAATAAACCGGAAGTCTCTTTTTGAACACGCTCTTATCTGTCAGTGTGTGTGTGTGTGTGTTCATTTCGGACTCTCCAGGCGCCTGACTCTGCAGCAAACCACACTTTCTAGATCAAAAAGGCAACATAGAACTAAAAGTAACTAAATGTTACTAGACGTGAATGGTACAACAGGCTGAAAAGGCATGACGAAGATCTCAAAGGCGTAAACGGTAGATTTCTGTTAGGGTGAAATCTAACAGTGGCCTAAGTATGTTTTATTACAGATATTATTTTATATCATTACACTACACACTCTAAATAACACTTTTTTCCTGCTATAGAGAGAATTAAGGATGAAGATTTCTATCGTTAGAGGAAAAAATATTTGATCAGAAGAGAGATGTAGAAAGGAACTAATTGTCGATGAGAGAGAGAGAGAGAGAGAGAGAGAGAGAGAGAGAGAGAGAGAGAGAGATCACTTGTTCATATAAGAAAACAAAAATAAGCAACAGGTGTGCCATGTTAATTGCCCATTCCACCACAGTCCCTCTGCAGACTTCCGCTAAACCAAGTCCCCACCTGCTACAATAATGAACAGTATAGTAAACTCTACAGACCTCCTCTATATAGGTGATGCAGTTCACCCCGATATCAAGAGTTGAACGGAGTCTCCTGCTTCCTCCGCTGAAATAAAGTCCTTCTGGACACCGTTATATGTAACGCGAAGCCGAGCTGGGTGAAGTATACCATAGCGCGCGCCCTCAATACCACGAAGTTGACGCTGGACCTCGTTAAACGCGGCCCGGGTCCGGACTGTCTTGACTGTGTAGTCAGGGGAAACGGAGATGGTCAATTCCCTCGCTTTTATCCACTGGAGCTCTCTCGCACGGCGTAAAATATCAACACAGTCCCCGTGATAGTGGAATCTGCACACAATAGCTCGTGGTCGTTCACCAGACTTGGGCTTGGGCTGAAGGTTCCGGTGGGAACCTTCTCCAGACTGAACGCCTCTTTGAACAAGGCCGCTACAGCAGCGGGTGTAGATGTGTCAGCGGCCTCTAGAACTCTATCCTAACGTTATTGCGCCGTGACCTCGACTCGAAATCCTCCCATTTATTCTCTAATGGAGTCACGGTCGCAGTGAGAGATTCGATAGTAGTCTTCTTATGAACTATATCATCGGTGCAACCGGAGAGCGCGTGCTCCATTTCCCCAACAGTACACCTTTCAGTGTTGATATGGTAGCATCTGGAGCGACTTTTATCACCAGCCTGCTGTGTTCTCACGGCCTGCAGGTCGAGCTGGATAGTAGACAGCGCTTCCCTGAACATCTCCTGGAACTCCTTATTATAAATATCGGCGATATCCTTTCTCAGTGAAGACAGCAGCTCAAGCTTGAGTGCGGAGAAGTCAGGGTCACCGCTCGGGGACGCGGATTCAGGGGGAGAAGGGGACTCGCTCACGGAGCGCGCACTAGGTCTCAGTCGTGTCTGAATGCTCCCACGGGTTTTCGTGTTCTTTCCAGACATCTTAACGTTCCACAAAGTTAAAAGTGCAAATAAGGAAACGAAGTCAAAATATATTATATGATCAAAAAGCGCTAATTAATTCCAATTTTAATCGAAATCAGCAGGAGCCTCCAACTTCGCGTCTTACTCCACCGAACACCGAAATCGGATCTCATTTTTAATCTGAATAAGTTCCCAGCAAATCTTTCAGCACTGTCAAATACAATCATTCTACATTGTGCAGTTTTGCTGGTAAATTAAAACCCTTTCTGAATCAAAACAGGGATGAAAGCTTAGAGAATTAAAACCCCACACCTGAGAGTATCTAAATAATCCGCTTCATACGAACTCTAGTTCTTTTGTATTATTTTGAGACCATAATTTCAGAGCAGATCAAATTAAATCAACGCATCTAAGGGAGGTGAAGGAATGTGGAATGTGGAAGCACACGTGACACTACTGACTGTGATGTTTATGCTTCACTTATGTGTATAGAATATATATATATATATATATATATATATATATATATATATATATATATATATATATATATATATATATATATATATATATATATATATATATATATATATATGTATATGTGTGTGTGTGTGTGTGTGTGTGTGTGTATACAAAGTAGACTGGACGGGCATGTGTTTTTATGGTGCCTCTCAGCTGGCATGGATTTAAATGCT